AGGGCCACAACTTAAGTGCCGTTGCATATATATGCAAGTCTAATCAAATAGCTTCTTTCACACTGAAGGGCATGAATACAAAAATAAAGGCAAGACTACACAACACACAGGCCCCATTTAAGTCAGTTCTGCTGATATGAATAAAATTCAACAGCTACCACGTGTTGAGTAGCCCTGCTCTAAGACTTGGAACCCGCTCAGTGGTTTTGTTGTGGTCCTGGTTTTTACAGATTCTCAAGCAGCTATTGCAATGCCCTGAAGGGTCACAGCACTGATTCTCCAAACACCTGGCTCACTTTGACCTGACCTAGATTTTGCTTGACAAGTCTCTTCAGCACCCAGCGCTGTATAGAGATGCCGTTGTGGATGTAAAGCCATGTTTCTCCCAGCGGCCTGCGAAACCACTTGGAGAAACCTGTTCACTGGCCATGCCGGTTTATTTACTTTCCAGCGCCATGGCCATGGAGCCTTGTGGCTCCTGTTGGCTCCGTTTTGCCATTTGCAGCCAAGGGGAGCCACGGGAAGCAGCGGCCTGGCTGATGCTGCTTTTAAACTTTGTGCTAGGCACTCAGCTATCACCCTGATACTACTCTAGAGCAGGGGCAGGGAAGAACCCTTTTTTGAGTCAGGAGCCACTGATAGGGTTGCCAGATACTTTAACCAAAAATACTGACCCCCACCCCCCCAAAAAAAAACACCGGGGAAAAAATTCTGTTGAGAGAAAAAAGGGGGAGACCAAAGTTGTTGAACAAAAAACACATAAAAAGACCCCGAGAGTTAGTAAGCAAAAAAACAAAACAAAACAAACCAGCATGACCCCTTTAAGAAATGCTTTTGAGGCTTTTTGGCCCTAACAGGCTGCCGGTGGCCGCCCACTTTCTTGTCTTCTTGCTCCGGGCGAGACAGCTCCCCTGCAGAACCAGGTAAGCATCCGGGATTTTTGCCTCCTAGCCAGGAAAAAAATCAGAAAATACCGGACACCTAAAATGTCCGGTATTTTCTGAATTTTTTTTACTGGACAGGAGGCGAAAATACCGGACTGTCCGGGTCAATGCTGGACACCTGGCACCCCTAGCCACTGACCCCCCCCCCCGAGAAATCATTTGGGGGGGCGCACACAAGTGAGGAGCAAAGTGAGAAGCCTCTGACTGAGAAGGAGAAAGAAACTTCCCACGTTCCCAGTAAAAGCGGCGAGGAGTCCTGTGGCACCTTGTAGACTAACTGAAGTGTTGGAGCATAAGCTTTCGTGGGCAAAGACCCACTTCGTCAGATGCATGTCACTCCTCGCTGTTTTTGCAGATTCAGACTAACACGGCTACCCCTCTGATACTTGACACATTCCCCGTGCACATCAGAGTCAGGGGAGGGGCAGGCTACTAGGTTTTGTATGCTCCCGCCCTGAAGGTGCCTGGCTGGGGGCTGAAGCCAGCACAGGCTCCCCCGCTGACCTCAGGGGCCAGATCCAGGCAAGCTGGGGGGGTCACATCTGGCCCCCAGCCTGAGGTTCCCCACCCCTGCTCTAGAGAAACAGAACTGAGCTAATGATGATAGTGCATCCTGTCTTCTCTGGGTCGGCCTTTGTTTTGTCTTCTGCCTCCCCACGCCCACCGGGAGCGCCCACCAGTGTCCGATTCAGCTTCGAAGCTCTTTGAGGCTCCGTATTTCTTGTCTCTTTGTTCAGGCCTGGGCCATGATGGTGCTTGACAAATAACACTCTGTAATAAAACGAATGAATCTGCATATGTGTGTCCTAAACCCATCCCTTACAGGAACAGTCCGTGGCAAAAAGCCATTTCTCACGAAGGGCGTTGCCTGCCTGTTCGCTAGTCACAGCTGTTCCCAGCTCCTCCCGAGACGGGGAGATGAACTTTGGAGTTAGAAAAGACTTTGTCAGCCACGTTCAGCGGCTTCCCTTTCCCCGGCTGCATCAGGTGTTGCGCTCCAGTGGGAGGCATGCACGCACCGCTCAATGAGCAATGGGATTCTTTCCCATGGCCCTGGAGTGGGTCCAGGCTATCCCCGCCTTCCCGCGGCACAGAGCAGAGAAACAAAGGCACCGGTGTTGCTGCTGGTTTTCCTTTCTTTTCAAAAAAAATCTGTCCTTTCTTAATTGTGTCCCTGACTCCTATTAACGTTCCGAGTGAGTCACCAGCAACGTGGCAGGCAGAAATAAGCATAGCTGGGCAGGGTAGAAAAAGAGAGGGGTATTTTCCCAGTGTTATAGCTACACGTCGAGGAAGAATGCTCTCTCTTCCACTAGAGAGAAACTTCTGTCATTCTCTGCGTGTGTTACATCAGTGGCTTCCTGCTGCCTCCAGTTTACTATTCCGAATCCTGTGTCAAAACACCTGTGCTCCAAAGGGAATAAATACCAAATGACCTTAATGTGCAATAGGAAATTCATGCCAATTAAGCATGCAGATCTCCATGAACCACATGAGACTTTCTCTCCCACTCCACTTGGGACCTGAGGAGTATGGCTCAGCTGTGTTTCACTGACGAGCGTAGAGCCCTCCCCAACCCCACAGCCCCTGCAATTACACCCTCTGGAGTAAGCAGACCCTCTAGCTTGGTAACCAAAGAGATGTGGGCCAACCCTAGATTTTATCTTGGGATTGAAGTGAAACAATGACTGGAACTTCAATAGCCATTCAAACTGCAGCCAGATGGAATTGCTCCTTAGCACACGGCTGAGCCTGAGGGATGACAAAAGGAGAGGAAAGCAAAATAAAATACATTTTCTTTTTCTCTCCTTTGACACTACCATTGTCCGACTCTTTTAAAGGGTTAATGTTGCTTTCTGATTAAACCAGTCCTGTCCTGTGTAACCGCTGAATGAAGGATAGTGACACAGTGGAGATTTATCTGTGTTCCAGTAACAAAACAAAAGCTCTGGAGTGGTTACACCCTAAAATTGTCAAACACAGCAATGCTTTCAAAGCAACCTGAGTCCAGGGCAGAGTAGAAATGAAGGCAGATGCTACCTTGGGGCAGACATCTAAAACACTGTGTCATTCCAAAAATGAAGGAAAGGAGTTGATGGTGGGAGCTATGAGACTGAATAATTGTTGAGGCGCAGAGATTGGAGTCATTCTAAAAGCATGCTGAAAGCTGTTGTCTTAAGAAAATGGTGCATTTTTAGGTGACCCAGTTGGGACACACAATGGGTTTCGATTCTCTTTCTCTTTGTTCCCTTTTCTGTTGGCTTTTTGTTTGGTTGGTTTTTGTTTTGTTTTAATTCTTGATTGTTTTCCTCATACCTTCTGGTAATACTTGTTCCTGTTCCATGTGTCTTTTTTTAAACATTTTGGCATGACTCCTGACTGTTCTGAAAGTTAAGATGTTTTATGGCCAGTGAGATCCAGTTAACTCAGAGAGTTTCTTCCGGTGACAGATGAAGGATGAACAGAATCATACTGGTGAAAAGCTGGGGCTAGCTTTTGAGCTGGATCTGAACTTGTTCAGATGTTGAATGTGGTCGGGAAAATGTGCCAGTTGCTTGAAGAGATGGTTTCCGTGCATTTCCTGGTTTTGGTAGAAGCCACAAGCAGCAGTTTCACAAATTGGTCTATCTGTGTATTGATTGCTGTCTAGCCAAATCAAGGAAGTGTTAGAAATTGAGAAAACAAGTGAGTGTGCATATTCCAGGCCAGGAAAGTTGGAGTAACTTTGCTTCAGCTTTGGACACACATGGAAGTGTTTGGATCCTTATCTGACCCAAAAGAAACCTGAAGCTTTGGAGATATTTGCCCATCATAAGTAACTATAAAAGACAATGCTGAAACAACTCAGCACACCTGGGCTACGTCTAGACTGGCCCCTTCTCCGGAAGAGGCATGCTAATTTCTCACTTTGGAATAGGGAAATCCGCGGGGGATTTAAATATCCCCCGCGGGATTTAAATAAACATGTCCGCCGCTTTTTTTCCGGCTTGGGGAAAAGCCGGAAAAAAGCATCTAGACTGGCACGATCCTCCGGAATAAAGCCCTTTTCCGGAGGATCTCTTATTCCAGGGCAGTCATCTAGGGCGCCAAGATAAATGGCTGTTGAGGGCATTAGAGGTGGGGGCGCCGATCGCACGCCGATTGCGCATTTCGCATAGGGCGCCAGTTGCCGGCAGCTTGTTTAGGGCCGCTCCTGCCTACACCTCCCTTGACAGAAATGTGCATCTGTCCATCCATCTGTCTGTCCATGAGTCTGTATTTGTCCAAAATCTTGCCAATGTAGACGTATCCTATGAGCTAGGACCACTAGCTTCCTCTTATTGTAACTTGAAGCAATGTCGGGATTTGGTTGTGCCAGGATAATGGGATGTGCATGGAATTCAATTGTTTCTCATAAAATGGAAAGGAAGGGGTCTGGAAGTAGAGACCGTTATACTATAGAATGACCACAGGAGGGCAGCATGGGGCTAGAGATGGGGACTGGGACATCTATAACCCCACTGGGCCAGCAGAGGGTAGGGGTGGACAGCTACTTACCATATATTTCAGAGAGTTTATCTGTTTGTGTGTCTTTCAGTGTGTCTGTCCCCCAACCAGGGGATATATACCCTTCCCCCGGCTGTGCCTGCTGCAGCAGCCATGGACAGGCGCTTCTCACATGGCCCCAAGTTGCTGCGGTGAGAGAGGGCAAGGGTTGTCCTCTCTCCCTGGGGCAGCCTGCAGACTGAACCCCTCATCCCCAGCCCCACCCCAGAGCAATGATTGAAATGAAGACCCTAGCCACAAACTTTTTATGCCTTTGGGTTTCATTGTGAACATGTTGCGCTCTATTAATCTGCTGACCCTTGTTGGTAATTTACTTGCCCCAATTATCCCCAAAGCAACAAACATGCACAGGAAAGAAGAAGTCAGTGAACGGGTTTTGAATGTTGTTGCATGTTCTGAGTTGCTGGAGGCTTTGCAGACCCTGCTGTTGCTGCCCAAAGCTACACATCTCTGCTGCACATTCTGCAGGACAAAGACACTGAGTTTCTTTTCTCCGTTTTCTCTGCAGGTGTGTTACTAGACATCCAACAGCATTTTGGAGTTAAAGACAGTGGGGCTGGCTTACTACAGACAGGTAAGAGTGTTGCACATTTCCTGGCTGTTTAGTTTCGTTTCCCTTCCTTCGGGGGTGTTTTTACGGTTTCTTGAGTTAAGGTCATGCTGTCTTTGCATGAACATTGGCTTGCCAATTCTCCCTAACTCTGTGGCTGTGTTTCACTTACAGCCAGCAGCAGCTGAGTTTGCAGCATCCAAATTTTCCCTGGCACTGGGCAGGGTGGGTAGAGCCTGCTATAGCTTGAGTACACATGATGTGGATAGCTTGGTGCACATAGCTTATAGGAACTGAAAAGAGGCAAAGTGTCAAGCCACAGTAAGGAGATAACCAGCTTGGCTTGTATTAGGGAGAGCACAGTGTATGCCAGCGAAGGGAAGGGAGGAATGGTATGCACCACTGATCACATTGTGTATAGAACGTGTTGGTCAGGTAGACTCATTGGCTACGTCTACACTGGCCCCTTTTCCGGAAGGGGCATGCTAATTTTTCAGATTGTAATAGGGAAATCCGCGGGGGATTTAAATATCCCCCGCGGCATTTAAATAAAAATGTCCGCCGCTTTTTTCCGGCTTTTCTTTGAAGTAGGAATAAGAGATCCTCCGGAAAAGGGCTTTTTTCCGGAGGATCGGGTCGGATCGGGGCCAATGTAGACGCTCTTTTCCGGCTTTTCTAAAAGCCGGAAAAAAGCAGCAGACATTTTTATTTAAATGCCGCGGGGGATATTTAAATCCCCCGCGGATTTCCCTATTACGACCTGAAAAATTAACATGCCCCTTTCGGAAAAGGGGCCAGTGTAGACGTAGCCATAATGTGTCGCACAAGCGAGCATGATGGTGTGACACCGTTAAGTGTATTGAAATAAATCTGGCACAGAGAACTGCAGCCATTGGTCCTTCTTAGATCAGTATCCCCTTGGGTTAGGGGAAGAAAACAGGAACATTTGACTTTCAAGCCCATAAGTTCAGGCCCTTTTGTCCCTGCATGGAAGTGATAAGGGTTGTCGAAATCTAAGCCCACTTCCTGTTTGTGTTGCAACCCATCTGGGTTTGGTCCAACCACAGGGTAAACCTGCATGCTCTGACCTCTGCATGTAGTGTGGTTTCAACTGACACTTCGGCCAAGTGGCCACTTTGAGGGGCAGCCCTAGGTGGATGGTCTGCTCGTTTGGGTTGACAGTTTCACAGAGCAAATGTGATATTAGGGAGAAAGCTGTTTGGGGATGCCAATGGCACCGTTGTTGGCTGGAGACCTGAAAGGCTGGTGCTACTGCTGTGGCATGTGGGTTTCTCTGTTTGCTGTCCCTGTTCAGGGGTGCACCTCCCGAGTAGGAATACAGCATGTTTCCCAGAAAGGAGTGGATGGAATCCTGGGATCGTAAGCTCTGTTTTATTATTGAGTTTGTACAGCTCCTAGCCCGAGGGGGTCCTGGCCTATGACGGGGGCTTCTGGATAGTACTGCTCTACAAATACAAAATAATAACCTACACTGGGGCTTTTCTACCTCGGGTGTCACTCGAGTGGCGGTGGTGGGAATGCCAGTGTGGTAGCCCCCTAGCTAAATGCAAGGAGGTCTGCAGGCTGGCACTAGATCAGGGGTGGCCAACCCATCACAGACGACGAGCCAAAATAGTGGTGTATATAGCACAAAGAGCCAAGGGAGCAAAACAACAACAAAACCCACTGATGCTGCCCCTTTAAAAGCCGCGTGTGGCCCAAGCAGGCTTCCATTGGCTGCAGCATCAGATCTCACGGCACCAAGTGGGAAGTTGTTGAGCAAAAAGAAAAATAACCTCCCCCCCCCCCGCTGCCCCTTTAAGAGCCATGTGTGGACCAAGCAGGCTTCTGTTGGCCGCAGCGTCAGATCTCGCTGCACCAAGCGGCGCCCTGCCCACACAAGGAAAAAAAGGTCAGAGCAGGGGACCATGAGAAGAGCCACGGGTGTGGGAGCTGCAATTCTTCTGTTGAAGAGCCGCTTGCAAGCCGCGGATTGGCTGCCCCTGCGTTAGATGGCTCCATTTAGAGAGAGATCTTTGCAACGCACTGTTAGTTAGCAATGATTGGCGGGGCTGGAACAGCCCTCAGCGAATACAGTTTGCATTCTAAGAACGAGGTGCTCTAGCATCATGAATACCAGAGCAAACTACCTGCCATCCCTGGCTCGTTAACACTCTAGCTTAGAAAGGCAGAGTTCAGCCACGCTGGCGTGCAGGACGCGCATTGGGAACAGAAGGACCGAACTTTACAAATGTGACTAATTAGGAGTGGTCTGAGTCTCTTATGCCCGAGTGGCACTGGGTGTCTGTCTGGCCCTCCTGTACAGAGTTATTTTTATTTATTTGGCTCTGAGAGCCTCAACTTGGTTAGTCACAGAGCATCTCCAGTAAAACTCTGGCAGAAAACAGCACACTCCAAAGCCAATATTTAATCTTCACTCCCCTCACTGGAGGAGAAGCTTTTACAGATTACTTGCAGGTAGCAAGTATAGGAAGAGCCAGGCTCCTTGAAGGCAGCTCGTCTTTTAATTGTGAGACGTAGTAGTATTGATTTCTGTAGCAGAACAGGCGGGCTGTCAGAAAACACCATTTCGATGTCACAGCCCTTTCCCGGATTGGGGGATTACTCACTGGTGGGAATGCAGCAGGCTTTGTCAGCAGCCAAATGTTGTTTTGGCAAAGGAATCGCTTCTCGTTCTTTGCTGCTTTGAAAGTTGTTTCTGCCTCTCGGATGACTGATCAGTGTCCTACCTGTCACAAATTGGTGGTTTCGGGCCAGTTCCTAGTGTCTTCGTGCCTAGGTATCACCTCTGCTTCAAGGATTTAAAAACACAGTGGCGGGCCAACCCTGCCACTTTGTCGTCGGTTGAGTAGCCTGTGAGTATTCTCACTAGGTGAATAGGACTGCTCACCAAGTACAAATGGGGAAAATTGAGGCATAAAGCTAAAGTGACTTGACCAAAGTTGCACAGGAAACCTGCAGTAGAGACCGGAGTAGAACTCGCATCTCCTTGTTCTCTCCCTTAAACTCATTACTTCAGCCGTCCTCTGCCAAAGAGTGAAAAGGCCTTAGGGTACGTCTACACAGCAACATTATTTCGAAATAACTTAGTCCGTGTCTACACAGCCAGCAGTTATTTTGACATAATGTTGAAATACTGTCAAGCTGGAGGACTTCTTACTCTGACTCCTGTAACCTGCATTGTATGAGGAGTAAGGGAAGTCGGAGGATGAGTGCTCTATTTTGAAGTGCTGTGTAAACGCTCCCCATTTCAAAATAAGCTGTTTCGCAATAAGATACACAATTGCTGTCGCTCAGTTCACGTCACTTATTTTGAGTTAAGCCCCGCTAGGTAGACGCACCCTTGGGGTGTGTCTAGACTACAGGGCTTTGTCGACAAAAGTGGACGCTGGTAAACCTCATTTTACGAGGAATAACGCCTTCTGTCGACAGAGTTCTGTCGACAGAAGGCATTATTGCATCTAAACTGTCCTTTGCGTCTACACTGCCATGTCGACAAAGCAACTTGCTTTGTCGACAGAACTGAATGTAGTCTAGATGCTCTTTGTCGACAGAAGCCTGTAGTCTAGACATACCCTTGTAGACAGAAATATCCTCGAATGCCCCAGGAGTGGTCCCCTCCAGTCAGTAATGTGGGAAAAAAAGCTGCCCATCTTGTTCCTGCCCTAAGAATAAGGGGAGGATTTCCATTTTCAGGGTCGTTAATCCTGCTTTTTAATGAGGAAGAAATTAATTTAAACCTCTGTTACATGGAGGAATAAAAATAATAAGACATCCTTTGTTAGTTCTTAACACTCTTCAAATAATGAAGCTAATTTCTCATAAAAAAAACTTTCAGCCTTTTAGCCGACCAGACAAAATGCCGGAGCAGGTTGTTTAGGATGCGATGGTATTGCAAACTCAGAGGAGAAAGAAAAGAAACCCTCCAAAGGCAAGCCATATGCTCCTGAATTCATACACTCATCGCCACACGCATAAACTGTCTCTCAAATCACTCTGTCTAAACACATCAGAACTGACTTGCACTCATTCTCAGTTTCTAGGCCCAAATGTTTCCGGATAACACAGGTGCCTGCTAGCCTGTCAGGGAAGAGAGGAAACCTGAGTTGTGTTATTTTTTTTGTGCTAATTAGGACTTCATGTGCATACCAGATCTACAACATAAGCTGCTCTGAGGAGCATGTAACTCCTCATGTGGCAAAATCCCCTGAATTCTAATGCCTGCGCCGTCAAAACGTAGTAATCTCTGTTAACGAGGACTCTGTGACAGCGAAGGGCATGCTGACAGATGGATCACGATTGCTGCTTGCTCAGTATTTTTGAGTGATAGGCGTGTAACCACATCGACCCCAGAACTTCAATTATCTCCTGATGAGGCTAACATTGAGAGTTGAGTCTTTTTCTTTTTAAAGTGCTGCATGCACTTGCTACTGTGTAAATAATATTAATTTGTACTGAATTGTCCTCCAGGCTTGTGCGTGCGTGTTGCTCCATGTGGGTTTTTTTATCTTGCCGTTCCTTTCATTTCCCAACTGTTGCTTTTGTTGTGTAGAGAGTGGCTAAGGCGGGCTGATATCGAGATGTGCTATCGGGTTCCCGTGGCTAGTGGAGCCAGGGCAGCTGTGACCAGTCAATATGATTGTTATAAGCCATGCCATGCAATAGGTGATTCCATGGTGAAGGGTTGTGAACGAGGTAGGACTGGAAAAGCACATGGGGCAGGGAGAAACTCCTGGAGTTCACAAGTCTCATAAATGGAGAGAGAGAGATTTATAAAGCTGATTCAAATGGTCTGTTGTGGTTAAAAGAAAACCCTGAACCCTGTTTTTAAAACTCACGTTTCTAGGGTATGTCTACATTCATGGAATCATAGAACTGGAAGAGACCTCAGAAGGCCATCAAGTCCAGCCCCCTGCTCTAGGCAGGACCAATTCCAACTAAATGAACCCGGCCAGGGCTTTGTCAAGCCGAGACTTAAACACCTCTAGGGATGGAGACTCCAC